AAAATAAATAAATAAATAAAAAATAAAAAATAAAAAAAAAGTAAAGTCAGAAGAAATGTGAAAAAAAATTTTTTTCACATTATGCCTTTTTAAACCTATTTTTTGTTGCCTACTGCTCTTCACCACCACCCCAAAATTTTTCATTTTAATAAAACCCAGAACATTAGACACCAGCTTCAGGGTTGCAATTACCTTTAATGCCTCCACTTCATATTTCAGTCTTTGGTTGTCAGCTTGCAAGTCTCTATTTCTCTGTTCAGCCTGTACTAATTGTGCCTCCAACTCTGCTTCTAATTCTCTGCTTCCTTCCTGGAATTCAACTAGCTCATCCCGAGCTTCCTGGAAGCTAAGCAGAAACAAAGTGGGAAAGATGAGTTACAGTAGGAACCACGAGGATCATCTTGCATATGACTACCTACCAATTCAATAATTTTTGCCTGACTGCTAATGCTCTCATAAAATATAATAAACAAAAGACAATCTTACTCTATTTTGGGTTCAATGAAATGAGTTACAAATCCAAAAATGACTCAAACATCAGTGAAAAGTCTATGTGGCTCAATACCATTTACTTCTTCCTCCACAGAATTCAGATGAAGGGTGAGAGAAATGCATCTTTATTTTCACTAAAGTAACTTAAATTTCTTTCAACTGTGTTCACTGAAATTACAGATATCTGCAATAATTCTATTGTGATATGAGAATATCTCTAATATCATTTATTTTCATCACTACGTCAAAACTGAGTTTTTTATTTAATGCAATAAATAAGTACATATTACTATACCAAAAATTAGTTTAATTTTTGGTCTTCTTCATAATTCTATTATTTAGTTGTATGTATTTTAAAATACTATTCTCTCCTGGGCTTTAGTAATAAATAAATCATAAAAATATAGTAGAACCCCTGTAAGTTGACCACCCAAGGGACTGTAACAAACTAGGCAACATACAGAGGTGCCAACATAAAGAAGTAGGCCTGCTGTACTGATATGTACATGTGGTGCATGTCCAGTCTGAAAATAGGTCAATTTAAGGAGGTGGTCAATGTAGGATAATGATCAATTATGGAGGCTGTATTATATTATTTTGAAAAGTCCAAAGTATTCCCCAGCCTATTAAGTCAATAATGACACAAAAAGCAATTAAGAAAACTGCATAATTGTATATACCTTCTATATCCACTGGCACAAAAGGATAACTGGCTTCAGTGATAACAATCAAAAAGCAATTAAAGGTTTGATAAGGCTTAGTAAGCTGCTAAACAAATTAGGAAAATATATAAATATTTTAGAAAGATTCCATTAAAAAATATTTCAGAACAAGTTTTGTGGCTGGGCACATGGCTCCCACCTGTAATCCTAGCACTCTAGGAGGCTGAGGTGGGTAGATTGCTTGAGCTC